ATTGAAAGTATAGATGGAATTTGTGAAGAATGCATGCTTGGAAAACAACATAGAGATCCATTTCCTTCACAATCCTTATGGCGTGCCAAACATCCATTGGAGCTTGTTCATACGGATTTGTGTGGTCCATTGCCGATTCCATCTCTTGGAGGTAATAGATATTTTCTCCTATTTATTGATGACTTCACTGGAAAAAATTGGGTATATCTTCTCAAAGAAAAATCTCAATCATTTCAAGCTTTCAAAGATTGTAAGGCCCAAGTTGAAAAATTTTCCGGTTTTCCAATTAAAACATTAAGAAGTGATCAAAGGCGTGAATACCTTTCCAATGAATTTGAGAGGTTGTGTAGAGATATTGGCATACGGCATGAGTTAACAGTTAGACGCACACCACAACAAAATGGTGTGAGTGAAAGGAGAAATAGAACGGTCATGGAAATGGCAAAATGCATGCTTAAAAAGAAAAAATTGCCATCAGAATTTTGGGTGGAAGCAGTCGCTTGTGCTGTTTATTTGATTAACAGATCTCCCACAAAATTTTTGGAGAATCGTACACCTCATGAAGCATGGTATGGAAGAAAGCCTAGTGTTCAACACTTCAAGATTTTTTGAAGTGTTGCTTATGCATATATTCCGGATGTGATGAGAAATAAGCTTGATAATAAGGCCGAAAAATGCATTTTTATTGGGTATAGTGAAAGGTCCAAAGCCTATAAGCTATACAATCCAGAAACAAAGAAAATTGTGATTAGCAGAGATGTAAAATTTGATGAAAATGCTACTTTTCTTGATTCAAAAACAGGTGGTTCTTCAAATGCAACAATTTTTGATGATTTTCAAGGTGTAGAAATTAATGGTGATTTGTCTTCAACATGTCCCTTATCAAGTGAAGGATCCTCTCAAGGCCCTCCATCTTCTCATGGGAGGAAGACAAGGAGCTTGTAAGAACTCTATGAATCTACCAATGAAGTGAATCAAGACAACCTTGTCTTTTTTGCTTTCTTTGCAGGGGAAGATCCAATCTCTTATGAAGAAGTATGCAAAGAGGAAAAATGGAAGAAAGCAATGAATGAAGAAATTAATGCCATTGAAAAGAATGGTACATGGGAGTTGGCTAATCTACCACCAAACAAAAATTCCATTGGTGTGAAATGGTTTTTCAAGACAAAGGTGAATCCCGATGGCTCCATCAACAAGTATAAAGCACGGCTTGTTGCAAAAGGTTACAAACAAAAAGAAGGGGAGGATTATAATGAGGTATTTGCTCCAGTCTCTCGACTTGATACCATTCGTTTGATAATTTCTCTTGCTGCCCAAAATGATTGGAAGTTGTTCCAAATGGATGTTAAATCCGCTTTTTTGAATGGGATCCTTGAAGAAGAAATTTATGTTGAACAACCTATTGGGTTTGTAAAAAATGGGGAAGAACACAAGGTGTATAAGCTTAACAAAGCTTTATATGGTTGAAGCAATTCCCACGAGCTTGGTATAGCCGCATTAATTCATATTTTGAGAGAAATAGTTTTCAAAAGTGTCCTTATGAACACACGCTCTACATCAAAAATGATTTGGAAGGAGGCTTCATGATTGTGAGTCTTTATGTTGATGACTTGATTTTTACTGGCAATAATCTGAAATTGTTGAATGATTTTAAAGTCTCAATGATGAAAGAATTTGAAATGACGGACTTGGGTGAGCTACATCATTTTTTGGGCATTGAAGTTCGTCAATCTAAAGAGGGAATTTTTATTTCTCAAGAAAGTTATGCTGAAAAGATTTTGGAAAAATTCAAGATGGAGCAAACTAATCCCGTTTCAACACCATGCATCACCGGAATAAAATTAAGCAAAAATGGTGAAGGAAAGCTTGTTGATTCTCCCATGTTTCGAAGTTTGATTGGAAATTTGATGTACTTAACTGCTACAAGGCCCGATATAATGTTTGCGGTAAGTTTGGTTAGCCGATTCATGGAGAAACCACATTCAAGTCATTGGGAGGCTGCAAAAAGAATTTTGAGGTATGTGAAAGGAACCATTGATTATGGTATTTTTAATCAAGCAAATGTTCCGGTTAAACTTGTTGGCTACACGGATAGTGACTTGGCGGGAAGTATTGATGATAGTAAGGGCACATCCGACTATGTCTTTAATCTTGGAAGCGGTGCAATTTCATGGAGTTCGAAGAAACAAGCTATTGTGGCTCTTTCTACAACGGAAGCGGAGTATATTGCTGCCTCACTTGCCGGTTGTCAAATCATTTGGTTGCAAGGTATTTTGAAAAATCTCAAGCGCAAGCAAGAAGGGCCAACAACATTATTTTGTGACAATAGTTCAACTATCTCTGTTACAAAAGACCAAGTTCTACATGGAAGGACGAAGCATATTGCATCCCTTATTATTTCTTAAGGGAGCTTGTCAATGAAGGAATTATTCAAGTTGAATATTACAAGACGGATGAACAAATGTCAGATTTATTCACAAAGCCTCTTGGTGGAATTTTATTCAAGAAGAATCTTGCAAAGTTGGGAATGAAAAGCAAATTTGGTTTACGGGAGGCATTGTTGGAAAAATAAACCAAATACATGAACTAACTCAAGTGTTGAATACATGAACCAACTCACGTGTGGAATACATGCACTATCTCATTGGGAGATGAAACATTTGTATTAAACTTAGTGTTTTATTTATTGTCTTGTAATTTGTGTCTTTCTAGAGTCATGTATTGATGCCTATAAATACATGTTTTTAAGTTCTTTTATAAGCAAGAAGTGAGAAAGAAATATATTAGTATTTGAGGCTTTTATATAAAAGTTGTGTGTGTTCTCCTTCTTCATATTGAGTGCCCTCCTACAAATGTTAATCTGTGGCATAGAAGAACTTACTCTCCGTTAGGGACATTATGAGACAACACACTTCCTTTGTTATTGGTGCCCAGTTAAGGTTTAGTTTGTTTCATGACTCCTGGTTTAATGGCCTCACCTTGTTATAGAAATATATATGGTCATGGGGTTGTTCGATGGTTCCCATTCCCTAGAAATTCTAGCCTACAGGTCCTAATGCATAATGGGAGTTGGAGGCTAGACTTTCTTACTGAAAATTACATGCTTTACGTTAGGGAGTTTATTGCTAGCCTGTCTATTAGGGTTGGGACTGATATTCTGAAGTGGGATGGTGGTTAATTCAGCGTCAAAAGAGCTTGGAATATAGTGAGATGTCAGCTGAGTTAGTGAACTGGAGGGATTTGTGTTGGAACAAAGGACGACCTCGCTACTACTTTGGTACTGCCATAATCATTCAGGACAAACATCCCTCCATGTGCAATTTGAAGAAGAGAGGCATGAACATTGCTGCTCTGTGCTCCTTTTCTAGGTCTCATTCTGATGGGAGGGATCACCTGTTTGTGAATTGTTTGTTTGCTCGAATTGTGTGGTGTTGGTTTGATGAGTTATTGAGTTGGGGTCTGCGCGCCTTTGTACTCTTCCATTGATCAATTACTAGTATGGTTTATTCAACAAACTGTAGGTCATAGTTACAGGTCTCAGATTAGTACAATGGTGTTCACAACAGTTCTTTGGGCCTTGTGGGGTGAGAGAAATGCAAGATATCATCAGGATGTGGGTCGATCGGCTGAGGAGGTGGCTAGAGCTACATGCTTTCAGATCCTTGATGCGGATGTGACTAGACTTCATGATGTGCTATTCAGTTTGGGTTGATAGTAAATGGTTAGGGGAATGTTTTATCATGTATTGCAAATGGTATATTTTTCTGTGTTTGTACTGATATATTTGTACTGATTGCAAAAATTTTGACAATTTTGAAAATTAATATAACTAACTACCTGCTTATGAAAAAAAAAATGTTTACAAGAAAAGGGTAACAGAGTCTTTTGTAGGGATAGTAATTTTTACTGCTCCGTCCCGCCCTGCCAATAACAGGATATAGGAACAAATTTTATAGGGTAGCATGGATACCAAAAATTGACCCGTCACGGGGCGGGTAAGGATTTCTATAAATATCCGCCCGGCCCGGCCCGGCCCCGCCCCGCCCGGTCTTACATACAGTTTTTTTAATTTTAATATATATATATATACATACATACATATTATAAGTTACAATATAAGTTATAACCCTAAAGCATTGTACTCTCAATGTCTCCACATCCGCAAGGTACACAGAGGTCGGCGCATCTTATCCAAAAACCAAACCACCATCTATTTCTCTCTCCTCCTTTTGTTTCTCTCCTCCCTCTCCATCTGTTTTTCTCTCCTCTGCAGCTCCTCCCACCACCACCACCTCCACCTCCACCTCCACCTCCACCAAACGCCGCCACCGATCTATTCCTTTCAACACTGACAACACAATAAGCGCATCCCGTCTTCAAGCTATGTTTCGCAGCCTTGGGATGGAGATCGATGATCCTCTGAAGATAAGAGAGAATCGGTGACGACCCTCAACAATAATAATATTTTCGCTTACAGATTTTGTTTTTCTCTTTGAATTTGGGTCTTTTTTTTTTTTCCTAGTTGGGAAACTCACACACACTACCTCCACTAAGGTTCGAACCCCTGACCTCCCTTTGGGAGATAAGAGCCTTGTACCGCTAGGCTACAAGCCTGTTGATAATTTGGGTCTTTTTTCTTTTTCTTTTTTTCAACAAGGCACTAAATCATTCTTATATATATATTTATAAAATCTGGGTATACTGATCCATGAATGGGTAATTGTAGATGCCTGATATATGTTATTCCAGTAATCAAAAAAGAAAAAAAAAAATGTTAACGGGACGGGACGGGTATAGGTATTGCCATCTCCTAACGAGGCAGGGGGACTTAAGAATTCAACCCGTCCTAAACCCGTCCCGTTGCCGACTCTTTTGGTTTGATAGTTTTATTATTATTAAATTAGATAAGAGTATGAAATATATGTTGTCAAACTCTCTATCCATAATTTACTCAAACCTCAAGAGGTGAGTGTAATCTACCCCTTTATACTTTGAACATTCTAAGTGCGGGATTACCCATGAACCCATTGTATCAAGGACACCTTTAATTGGATAGCCAAGCCCAAACGATAAACATATTCTGATGTCATATATTAGTACATTACTAATCTTCTTCCCCTCTTTCTTTCTTTCCTCCTCCTCCTTCTCCTTCTTCTTCTTTCTTCCGTTGTTTTTTTATTTTATTTTTATTTTTATTTTTTATTTTTTGGCACAGTCCATTACAAATCAAACACAGTCAAAAGTGCACATCAGGCTCTCCATACAACAGCTGCACTTACCCAATGCTAGTCATCAACCAATTCAATCACGCCATATAACAACATATCACAAAAATGAAAACGTAGAATCTCCATAGTACCCTTAATCTTTGACGTATCACGCCATGATTGGAAGAAATATTAGTCAACTCATAGGGCCTAAGTCGTTTTGGGATAAGGTGTCCTAAAATAAACGGACTATGTCCCGCTAAAATCGTGCCCACACGACAGCTACGACCAAGGAGCACCTTCAAGCAAAGAAAAATCTCTGTCCCTATCATTATTCCCCATTTTGCCACACACAAAAAAAACACATACCTGCTCCATTCAAACAAGCCTAGGGGGTTTGTTTAGGAGGAGAAGAGGAGGAAGGAGTAGTTTTTATCCCCCCCAAAGGGATTCTTCCTTCTTCTTCCCCCCCCACCTCTCTCTCTATATCTATCTCTCTCTCTCAAAACCATCCCCGCCCATTCCATGAGGACATTGTGTCCCAATCTTGACAGGGAAGATGGCTTGGATACAGTCCTCGAAGTCCCCATACCCGAAGAAATGTTCAACAACATGGGCAGCACTCTCACCCTCCGGTGGCAGAACATGCGCGCTTGGATGAGGGCTCAACGCACCGGCGACAAGTCTTCCAATGTTGGGGCTGGATCATCATCAAGCAATAATGAGTTCATGTTGTTGCTTAAAATTGTTGGTTCTCCTCTTATCCCATTCCAGGTCCAAACCGACCATGCATGGACTATGCCCATTAGAGATGGTTCTATTGTAAGCATATATATAACTTTCTCATGCATCATATTTCTCTCTCAATCTTTCAAGAATACATGATATAATATCCCACTTGTTGTTTATTTCTTGGATTTACATTTTCATTTAAATTGACCAAGTTATAAAACTGTTGGTCACGTCACCCAGAATCCTATTCTGTTTGTTAGGTAAATTCCCAATCTCTTAGAAAATGTTAACCACCAAAAGCTTAAACTAATAAAGGGTGTATAATTATGTATATTTATATGCCCTAAACAGAAAACTCTGTGTGTTATCATACAAATGACATGTTTTTGGTATCTTGTAACCATAAATAATCTATTCCTTTCACAGTGGTAAAAGAGAGTTTCTTGCTAATTTGGAGAATTGCTAACAAACTGATCTATGCAACTTTCCCAATAAAAGAGAGGTTTTCTAATTCATAATATGGTAAACCCAGTGACCATTTCTACCCACTAACTTCTAATCTAACATTCTTGTCATAAAATAAAAATAATAATAAAAAAAATTTGTAATATGCATGTAGTAGGTGAAATTTCTTCACGTTTGATCTTTCCTTTTATATTGCGTAGGCAATGAGAGAGAAAAACACCATGTTACACCATAAATATTACCAGAGAAATAGTAATATATTTATCTTGGAGAGCATGACACATGAATCAATAACAAATCTCATTATAATTAATTGTTGTATTTCTTGGATGTATATTGTAACTTAATTTGACAGCAAAGCTAAAAACTCTTGTCACAGCACCTAAAATCCTATTCTGTTTGTTAGGATTGAACTTTTAACTACTTTTTAAAAATGTTAAACCCCATGTACTCTAAAAGTTTAAACTAACAGAGAGAGTGTGTAACTTTATTTATTTATATCTAACTCAATGCGATATCATACAAAAGACATCTTTTTGGTATTCTAATTATAACCATAGATAATCTGTTCTCTTGTCACACCTTTTCTGTTTTTGGCTGATATTGTATCATTATTCATTTCACAGTGGTGAAAAAGGAGTTTCTTTCTAATTTGGAGACATGCTAAGAAACTCATATGCAAGTTTCCCAACAAAAGAGAGATTTTCTAATTCATAATATGCATATAGGTGAAATTTCTTCATGCTAGATCTTTTCTTTTTATTTTTTCCTAGGCAACAAAGGAAAGAAAAACACTATGTTACACCATAAATATAAACAAGAGAAGTAGTAATAAGTTTATAATTAATATATATATATGCCTTATGTTGAACTTTACAATGAACAGGAATCTTCAACCGCGAAATATATAGTGCAGCAGTATATCGCGGCAACTGGAGGACAAGCTGCATTGAATGCAGTGAATAGTATGTACGCGGTGGGACAGGTGAAGATAATATCATCGGACATCCACCAAAGTGACAATAGTGTGAACGCCAAACGTACGTGTGAGTTGGGTGGGTTCGTGCTATGGCAAAAGAACCCTGACCTGTGGTACCTAGAACTGGTTGTTTCCGGCATGAAGGTGAGTGCAGGTAGTAATGGCAAGGTAGCATGGAGTCAGTCTTCTTCTCAACCGTCCCAAGTTTCAAGAGGCCCTCCAAGACCCCTTCGTCGCTTCTTTCAGGTAGTCCAAACCTGTCTTGATGCTTCAATTTTTTGCGACTTGAGTAAATTAATACTCAAAAATATATCTGCATAAGTACTAGAAAAAGAGGCACATTGTTCAACAGAAAAAGACTTTAATTACATTTCATGTTACTTGCATATTTGTTGTTGTTATTTCAACATTTACTATGAATTCAATGTGGTCCTATCCATAAAATTTGATGCTTTCATTGACTTAATGATGTCATGAACCACATAATGTGCTCTAATTCCTTTTGCAATGTCTTTCACTTACCATGGCTTGTAAATTCTACTAATTTCACAACATAAACATTTTACCTTTTGCAGAAGTGGTGGGATTAATACAACTTCAGTATTCTGCTAACCCATGGATTATTCCATATAATTTGACAATTTATAAGAGTACATGTTTCTTAGCTTTCAATGAACATGCATTCATATTGTCATTTTTGGATGTCAATAGGGCCTGGATCCGAGGTCTACTGCCAACTTGTTCTTGAACGCGGTGTGCATTGGAGAGAAGAACATCAACAAAGAAGATTGTTTCATACTGAAGCTGGAGACAGGCTCGGATACCCTTAAGGCACATAGTACGCCAAACACTGAAATTGTCCATCACACGATATGGGGCTACTTCAGCCAAAGAACGGGACTACTCATCCAATTTGAGGACTCGAAACTAGTGAGAATGAAGACTTCTAAAGGAGACGCTAGCGTGTTTTGGGAGACGAATATGGAGTCCATGGTTGAGGATTATAGATACGTTGATGGTGTCAATATAGCACACAGTGGGAAGACTGTCGCGACGATTTATAGATATGGGAAGTCATTGAATCACAGGGGGAAGATTGAGGAGACATGGAGGATTGAAGAGATTGATTTCAATATATTTGGTTTGTCCATGGAATCTTTTTTGCCTCCAGCTGATGTTAAGAAAGAACAAGAACAAGATGAGCCAGGAATGGGATAAGTGAGCTAATATGTTGTTTCATGAACACACAAATTGAAAGTTGCTTGTACATATAGGTGAATTGAATTCAGATTTTCCATTTAAGATTCATGTTCAACAACTTTGGAAACCAATCTTCTTTCATTCTCTCATGAACTTTACTTCCCATCTCTTTTTCATCTTCTACAATTTCCTCTACCAGGAGAGTAAAGGATGCATTAAAAATTTCATTTCAATAAGAGTATCAAAGTCACGATCATCTTTCATTTCAAGTTAAGCAAAATAATTAATCATCATTATTTCACCCTTTTCAAAAGTTCCAGATAACATTATAATACATGAAGCATCAAATCAATCAAGAAGAATTTCCAATTTATTTTTCAATCAAATTAAATAAACTATTTATTTTTTCTTTAGCTTACACCTGCTATTTTCATATATGGTTAGTAATATTCCATTGTCTCGGAGCCGAAGATCTCGAAGGAAACCATGCGAGATCATTGTTATTCTTGGTGATCTAATTATTTATGTAGTCTTTAACTAATTTATTTATTTATTTATTATTTTTTCAATTTTAAGATATGAGCAAGGTTTTTATTTATTTATTTATTTTTGTAGGAATCCATAAAACTATCCCCACCCACCCTACCCCTTTTCCACCTAAGTATGACCTACACAACTTGAACTCAAACTTGGCTCTAATCTTTGCATTAGATTTTAGCCTAATTTGTGAAGTGTAAAATTGTAATTTGCATATTTCGGTTTCAAAACAAGTCCGATCGAGTTGTAATCTTGTTTTACTTTTCAGTCTCGAGGTTGGAAGTGGAACAACACGTGCTAACTCACTCCGAGATCAACAAGAGAAAACTTATGCTCCATTTGGTAGGAATGAATTAAGGAAGAGGTATGGAGGGATCTGAAGACAAAAAGGAAGAGATAAATTTCCTTCATTTGGTAGAGAGAAGACAAGGAGAGAAGAGAAATGAGAATAAATGAGTCACCCTTCATCCTTCACAAATTTTCTTCCTTCCAAATATGGACGGAAGACACATAGGAAGAAAGAAAATGCTATTATAAATATTTTTAAATTACAAAACTTTCCTTATAATTAACACTTTCTCTTCTGTTCTCTTCTAACAAACCAGATAAGGTATTATCTCATTCTCTTCTCATATATCCAACCAAACAAAAAGAAGTGTGGAGGAAAATTTTCCCACCAATTACAAAGCTCCACGTGTACGCAACTATATAAAGAAGCCAGCCCAAATGACAGGCCCAAAGGCCCGAGGAGAGCTCCATACGCCAAGCTAGCCTAAAAGTAACTCACAGCCCAAAAGGGCAATACGAAGTCTTGACGTCATTGTAACGACCTGAACCCGTGAGTCCGAATCGCTATTCGGATCTTTACCCAAACTTGAGGACGCATAATAATTAAATAGTCATTCACGTTCTTAAAAAAAATCTCAATACATTAAGTATGATTTAATAGGACATAATGAAGTCAAATAATGGCTAAGTAATGGATAAGGAAGGAACATAAATAAGTGGCGAACTAAAGGTTGAAAATAATCAACAAGTGCATAGTAACAAGAACGATCAACGCCTAACACCTATACGTCGACCAAAATAGGACTTTCAGTTGACGTATAGGTCTCAGACATCGACCAAAAGTGAATTTTTAGTTTATTTAATTGTTCAACCAAACCCACCCAAATCATCCCAAAATCAACTGTAATGTTTCTCATTTTTCGGGATTATTTATTTATTGCCTCGTTTTTCATGTCAAGCACCATTCAACATGCCATGTGAGTTCCGAGAGTTGTTTGGGGCATTTCTTCGAGTTTGTGACTCTTAGAAATGCATTGTTAGTTATTTTAGTATTTTTCAGAATTTTGGGTCGGGAGTTCCCGTTTGGACCCTACGTTTGGATTTCTCGTGCTCGGGACTACCTTTTGGGATCTTTGCACTCCATTTTTATTTAATGCATATTTATGTGATTGGGTGCTTATGTGCTTGATTTTATCATGTTTTGGGTGTATTTTGCAAAAAGTGACAATTTAGATAGTTTTGGTCCAATGACTTAACCATTTACACAAAATTGCATGACCACATTTTTTTGGGTCATTTCGTTTACTCTTCAGCTGTGACTTCTCTCCTTTCTCTCTATATTTTCTTATCTCTTTTGATCTTAAGCTTCAAGGCTTAGATCCATCTCCTTCCACTTGGAATTTGAAGTTACCATAAAAGACAATATTGGAGAATGCGTCGAGAGCTTCAATTTGATAGGAGCAAAGTTCAATTTGGGTGCTCTTGAGGATTTCAAATTTTGGGGAATTTTGAGGCTTTTGCATTAATCAAAGGTAGAGTTATCTAATTGTCAAATCCCTTAGGTTTAGTAGTTGATTCTATGTTTTTCCCCACCTCTTACTTATTAATTTGATGCTTAATTGAATAATTATCTCTTAGGGTTACATATATGGAATTGTTATTGCCAATTTCCATGATTTATGTGACTATGTGGTTAAATGTTGCAAGAAGTTTAAATAGCATGTTGCCAAGGTGTTATGTGAGAATTCTTGTGTCTTAAAGCATGCTATATGTGATGTAGATATGTAGATGGTTTATATAATAACGTATGTTGTGTCTTATGGCCTTGTATGAATGTAAACTGTTTTAAAGTTGATAAAAACATGTTGGTAAGCGAAAGGTTTCTTAGCATGATATCCATATAGCATTGGCCTCATTTCATGATCATTTATGTGGTTGTATGAGGAGGCATGTGTGTGTGGGAACATAAAGAGGTGCAAAGTTAGATTTGAAAAGTTTTGGGTATAGGTTTTCTTAAACTCGGTAGTTGGGGAGGTTCCCCTGGAGGTGTTAGTTAGTTAATAGGGATACGGGAGGTACATGCAAGTGATTATGCGACCTCGGGCCCCAAATGGTAGTTGGGAGGTACCCTTTGTCAGGGACGACTAGCAAATCCTCCCTAGGGATGTCGGAAGTCACCTAATGTCTAGCTAATTAATATGTTTTCGGGGTGTGTAGTGTTAGTTGAGTGTGTGGGTGTAGGTAACTGGCGGGAGCATTACTCATTTCATGCATTGCATTGCATTATTTTGACATTGATGGTTAATGATGAGTTAAATGCAATATATGAGATCCCATGCATGTTCCCGCCCTTATTCCTCCTTTTTTTGAGTGTAAGGCATGAGATTATCTACATTACTTGAGGAGATGCCATTTAGGCAATCTTTACTGGGCCTTGTGCTCATTCATCTACATTTTTTAGGTCACGGGAAAGAAGTGGTGGATGATATCCCTCCACAAGCTTAGATGGGGCTAGAGAGATCGCTTTTGACATTCTTTGTAACCAAACTCCATTTTTGTAAACCCTCGGCAAATGACATGTAATTGCCTTTATATTGTGGCTTTGTAAATATAACCTTACCCTTTTGGGTCATGTTTAAGTATATTTTGGATATGTATATGATGACAATGGATTCTTATGATTTAAATGTTAAAGGAAGAATGATGAATGAAAGAATTTAAGTACTTTTGTGTCACCATGTTATTAATTCTAGATATTGGTTTGTCATCTATATTGTAGACCATTTGTGAATGTTTCTAGACAGGTTCATACCATACTTAGGCTCACAAGTGAGCCCGGTCACGTTCAAGGTCTTAGGTACCATAAACCTGCACATTTTCCAACTCCCAGGGCCTGTCGGCCGGTTGATGATATAAGCCAGCCTACCTATAGTGCAATTTGGACGCAGATAGAGAGTTGGGTTTTCAGATTTGTCATTTCAACAGGCTAACCAACACTGTCAGCCGACCGACCCTCCAGTTTTGGTTGGCTAATACGGGGCTGTCAGTCGGTCGACGCAACCTAGTTCACTTGCCTACTCATTCAAAGATGCTATGGCACACTACAAACCATAGTATGATGTATTGATTATATTTCAACATTAGAAATGACACTAATACCCTTAGATGACCTTAGGTTCGAGTAAGGACCCGGATAATGATCCGGACCCCGGGTTTGGGTCGTTACAACAACCACTAAAATTGTAACGACTTGAATCCTGAAGGCCCAATGTGTGAATAGATATAGGGAAACCCTTATAGGATTGCCCAAGATTAACGTTTTTTTTTTTTTTTTTTTGAACAATACCCAGTAGACTACCCCTGTGTGGTAGTCAACTACCCTAGAACACTACCCCTATATGGTAGTCAATTACTCCTAGCAGAGTACCCCTGTATGGTAGTCAAATAACCTTTAAAGAATAATTGGGTGCATTGGAACGCAGGCCAGGTGCGTTTGAATGCTTTGGGCATACTTTGCACCCCATTCTGGAAACACCCCTGGATGAAAATTCTAGACAAAATAATGCTGAAAATGCCCCTTTTAATGGTCTTTCACTTGAAAAACCTGTGGTCATTTAGGCCATCCAAACCCTATCCCAAATATACACATTAACATAGAAATATTTGTTGGACCAAGAAGGGGGGGTTGAATTGGTTTAAGGAACTTTCTTCTTTTTCACATGATCATAAACATGATAACATAGAAGATATGACCCAGTACAATTAATCAAATCACATAAACACAACATATACAAGGAAACCCTATGAATAAGGAAAAACCTTGGTTCTTGGCCTTAGCCAATAAAAGCCTCCACTAGTTGTATGTATCTTGTTATACACTCAGCTATCTCACTCTCTGCACACACCCTTACACCAGAATAGATACTAACTTTCACAACCAATACACACACACTAGCTCATCAATAACACTTGCTGTATACAAGTAGTTACTCACTTAGCTGCCCCACTTTCCAACCACCTTGTACTCACTAGGACACTGACTTTCACTCCCTCTACACACACCTAAGATCAACAATGTGCACACAGGCACTCCCCCAGTCCACAGCCCCTTTGCTTGAACACACAAGCTTGCAATAGCTTAATCAACAATGAATAGAGGTGTCAACACGCCAAGTACAATATACTTAAGCTGGAACACAAAATAAGAGTGAATACACGCAGCCTTAAGTACCACACCACAAGAAACCCTAGCTTCCACTTCACTGCAACAAGAAGGG